ATGAGCAGTGACTGTTCAACACTAGGATGTTACCATTAAACTGAAGCTTATAGACTTTCATGTATTACAAAACTTTGCATAGTGTGGAAAATTTAAGTTTGATATGCAATTAAATTTGATGTGTTCTTTGGAATTCAGCTTGATGAAAAGGGACACTGTTTTAAAACAGGTTGTTTTGGTGCACATTCTTTCAACAAAGATGCTCTATGTGATGTTCTGGCACTATGTGAGCATTTAAAATTTTAGAGACAGTAATTGATAAACTATGTAAAAACAGTGCTACCTAGCTTTGAGCTTATTTTGAACAAAGAAAAAACATTTTGCTCCTAGCCTGTATGGGTAAGATTTTTGTTAAACCTTTCAAAATTGATTATTCATTTTATAATCATTAACATCTCAAATATTCTGAATGTGATATCCTTCAATACTAATGCAAGTAATAATGAGATTATGTGCATGTTAGCTTTTTGGTGTATGGCTCAAAATTCTGTTACTTTCTTTTGTAAATACTTGTATAAATGAACATATGATTATTGAGGTACTTGAACTTTAATTTTGACTTTAAATTTGTGTGTAGTTCAGTAAACATGCCTTACCAATCCCTATTTTTCTTATTAATTCTGCAACATACCCAAAGAGTAATTGAGGAAATTTACGATGGTTACTTTTCAAAGATGTCCTTGACTCTGTGAGAATTAATTGATCTTCATTATATGAATATATTATGTAAGTATTATAATTTTTTTCCATTTACAGTAAATGGAATTGGAATGAAACCCAGGTTGTAGAAAAAATCTCTTCAGAACCAAAACAGAGTTACTTTAAGGCTCCACTTAACCCTTTGAGGACAAGAAATAGTGTACAATTTTATTCCTTTTGATCTGATGGAGAGCAAATTTTGTTTAGCATTTATGTAGCTTTATAAATATTTACATTTATTACAACTAACTGGTTGAGGTAGGGTAAAATACTAATATAAATGATTATCTCAGACTTTGCAATTTATGTGAATGATCTAACTGAGAAATTCAGTTTCATTCATATAGAAGTCAGAGAGAGAGAGAATGTTACAGTGAAAACAGCATTAATTACAGTTCACTGCCATCAGATTTATGAAAAGTTGTAATAGGTGAAGTATCATGTTAAGTTTCATTACAAGGCAGCTTCCCTATATTTAATATCTTTTTGAAAAAGCACAATTTAATACTCAAATTGTTGGAAGCACAGCCAAATTACCCAAGATTGATTTTTCAAGCGAAGTGGGAAGATTTTAAAGGTAAATTTAGTTGGGAAAAGTTACCTATATATACATATAGACAAAAGACTGACGCTTGTGAAGATTTGCACACTACCGAATAGAATACTTATAGACTTCAGATATGATTTTCCAATGGCATTATTAAAAGTTAATATTACCTTTATTAACAGACTTATCATCTGATTCCAAATCTGGAGGAACTAGATATTTCTGAAATAACTGCTTTAATGGTTTACACAATTCTCATTGCAGCCAAAAATATATATGATTATATTTTGAGTATAACTCTATAGAAAAGAAATGCAACAGGTAAGATACATTTTCTCTATAAAGCAGAATTGGAAAAACAGTGATTACTATAGCAGACCGCATCTCCTCAAGGGGTTAAGGAGGATAGTGGATTTTCAGTGCTATTCAGTTGAAGAACCAGTGATATTTTTGTATGTTATCATTACATGTACTGTCAAACACCATATGCTGTAACCTGTTAAAGAAAAACAAAGATTATTTATTGAACTTTTCATTATTTTCTTGTATCTTCAAGTGCCTACTGGCATGACTATGTAAGGTCATTTGCATACCTTTGAGTGGTAATATGATTTTTGTAATTTTCTGAAATGTTTCAACTTTTAAAATTATGTCTCCTGATGAAATGCATAAGAAATATTTTTGGAGAAATGGAAAGGAACTGGTCACCAGAAGCAATCACCCTGCAACTCAGAATTATGTAGCACTATTATGAAAAAAAGTACTTAGGTTGAGCCTCCACCTGAAAGTTTTCCTTTTTTCACTAATTTTCATACAAAGCCATATCAAAAGTTTAGGCATACAACTCTGATGTGGAAAAAAAGTTAATCTCAAATGCCAATAGCATTAATAATTATTTAATGTCTTATGATTACAGAAACTTGATAAAGGGTCAAGAGGTATTGCTGCCTCTGCATTTTTGGATGATTTATGGAAGCTATTTATATTTGTGGCTGGTAGCATTAGTCCTCACAAAATGCAACATCAAAGTACTGGTATATTTCATCTTACAGCAAATATTTAGTTTGGTGTTAGATTAGGTGTTGTATTTGAAAATTTTCATGCAAATTCTTGTTGAGCTTTTGAAGTTGCTGGTTATATAAAACATGTGTATATACAGAAAGTACGGTGTCAAATTTTGACGAGCTTTTACTATGTCTGTACCTCAAGCTAGAAAAAAATATTTATATATTGTAGCACTCAAATTTGAAAGTTGCACCATTCCCTCTAGGAAATTAAGGGTATTTTGCCATGATTTCTGTTCAACTAATAACCCAATGTAAATCATATTTGTTTTGGTGTTTTGTTACTGCCTTTAAATTATTTTGTGTAAATTGAAAACTGTCTGCAATCTTCTTTTTTCTGTAAAAGCCTGCCCACACAAGCAGGTAAGATCAGTGGGTTCATCAACGGGGTGGCAATAGTAAAGGTGACATCACAGGTGAGAGAACAACGAGAAAACTACTTGTTTACCAGTTAGTTTGTCCATCTCTATTTGTGCCAGCCCATGTGCTTGCTGATCATCCCTGCCTAGTGTGACAGGCCTTAATAGTTAAACTCCACAAACAATTTCTTGTTTTATATATAGATTATACAGAAATAAAAATCTTGTTTAATATATTGAATAATATACATTGCATTTCAATTCCTTTTTGGTTTAGAATAAATTGGGGATATAATAAAATTTGGTTTTCAAGTAATGCCCTTGTCCTTTTTTGTAGCTTTTATGTACAGTACAGAAATACTTTAGTGATTACTTAATAGTTAAACTGAGGTTTGTGGCATAATTATATTAAAAATAGAATTTGTTTGATGCTTAGAAATAGCTATGCATATCATTTTCACTAGATGAATCTAAATAATTGAATATTTTACATCTAGAAATGGAAGTTTTGAGAAAGTTTGTGTATAATATTTTTCATTCTTCAAAAATTAGTTGAGCAATAAACTGTAACTGAAATTCAAGTTACTTTATATAAAAATATAGTTGCCATTACTTGGTTTGTTTCCTTAAGTAAAGCAGACTAGAATGTGTTAATATGTTACCAAAAGTATTTTCTAAATTATCTATAATAATGTAAAGAAAGGAATTAAATTTATTTATATTATCAGCTCCATTTATATTATTTACCTAGTGTTTGAGTTTTTTGTGGTATACACAAGACCAGTCACAAGTAACTGATGTCATTTTTATAACTATAGTAATAATAACCACCTATAATTCTTGGACCCATTAAGTGTGTCAGCTTTTATCATTTGTATTTTATTGCAAAGGTACCTTCAATTAAGTAGATCTGAATGCTAGTTTCTATCAGCCGGTTTGTTAAAATTGTGCGAGGCCCAACCCAAAAAATATTTGTATACTTGACATGCATAGATAAAAAAAATAAATGCAGATTTATCAGTCTAGACATACAAATAGATATATAGCTGATAGATATACATTTGTATATTTAGACTGATAAATATGCATGTCTGTATTTATGAAAATTCATTGGGTCAGGCCTTGCACAATTTTAACAAACCGGCCGAATATCTCATTTGGGAAAATATGATAAATTTGGTGTCTAATTTTTATCTATTGGTAGAATACCATTTCTGTAGATAAATTTTATTAACCCAGATGACCTTGAGCAACCACTTTCTTTAAATTTGTGACAATTTAGTCTGAAGCTTTTGGGCCTGTGCATAAGGGAGTTGAGGGCACAAAGAAAATTAACACAGAAAAAAATACATTAAATAAATACTTCATTTGTAAGAAGCAGTTTTGTGTGTAAAAGTACAGTAATATATGAGCCATTACAGGGATAATCTTGATTCTGATATAGACTGAAATATTTTTCCCATAAATTGTAACCGTAAAAGTAAAATTATCTATTTTTCATCAAACCATACTCACTGAAACCTAGAATATGTACATAAAAAATAGATTAGTTGAATAGTTTGTTTACTGTGATATTACTAACTGAAAATAATCTGTAGAAACAATCCATATTTCAGGAGATTACCCAATAACTTTGTGCTATATGACCTTTGATGTCTAGCACATTTATTTTCTTGTCATTATTACTTACTTACCCAATAACTTGGTCATAGAATACTATATATTTTAAAGTCTATGCTTGTGTAAGATTTTTTAACAGTATCAGCATTTAAGTTTCTGTCTAAGATTAATTACTGTTTTCTATGTGTAATTTTTCACAGCTTTGAGAATGGTATATGAAATTGGGTGGAAAAATCTTGAAAACTATAGAAATATTAATAATAGACGATGCCACCTCCATAGTATCTACTTGCAAAATAATATAAGTGCAGATACTTAAAAATTATATAAAATTTTTGAGAAAAAAATGAGACCTCAGGCTCAGTGGCTTAGACAAGTATAATGGAAACTGGAAAAAAGCACTGAAGTCACTGTTTGCTAACTTACACTAAAAGCTCATGAAAGATGATGGAAGCCAATAAAAATTAATACAGCTACTTTTTAGAGGTTATATCTGATATTTTGATACAGCATGAACCTGTATTAATGAGGTCATTTTCCTTATAAGCAGAAATTTCAATTACTAGAAATATTTGCTGTCAATCAAGTATATTTTTTGGCTGAAAATATGAATAACAGTTGATTTTCAGTGTCCTAATCAGGTGAATTCACAGACAGCACCAAGATCTTGAGATATGGTTCAGTTTCTGATGAGCAGAACTAAGCAACACATATTATGTAATATCTTTATTCTTCACAGTCCCTAACAAGGATTTACTTTAAAGCATGAACTGAAGTAACTAAGCTGTACATACATTGGAGATTTAATGAACACTGATGATCACCTTCTACAGCATATGGTGGTATTTATTCTGAATAGTAAATCTTACCACCAAAATTAACTAGTAAAAATTCAACAAGTTAACAGTAAACATTATTGCTTGATTTTTAATAATGAAAGTCATCTTTTTACGTCTCATCTTTTCAGATGTAAAATTCATTAACATGAGTGTTACAAAAATGAGTTTTCATGATTACATCAAAAATTCTTATCAATACACAATATTACAAGCGTTTACCCAGCCAGGGATAGAGAAATGCAAATATTCTCAAATAATTTAGGTTTACAAATAAAACCCAGATTAATTATTCCTCCATACCAATTAAGTTGTCAGACATAAATCACAATCTGCAAAATAACGTCAAAGTTTGTGATCCCCCATTAACAATAACAATTTTGATTTGAGGTATGATACAATTTTCATCTATAAAAATCAACAAGTTTTTAATAAGGACTTAATACATTTATGTACAACTGGAGAAACAGGATGGTCTGTAGTATATTTTGATAATCTGTACACAACACTATTAATTTCTAGTATACAGGTGTGCACTGCATGGAATCCGTATTATTCTTAGGTAGGCTATTATAATGGCTATTTACAAATATATCATCTTTAACTGCATTTCAAAATTTAAAAATATGGTGCAAAATAACAAGAGAATACTTTGTTTCACTTTATGGCATCATTATCATATGGCTAAATTGAAAATTAGAATGAGGTTTGTAAGAAGAAAAAAATAATAGTCAACCAAATACAATAAAAGATGATTATAGATCATACATTCTAAAAATACTAGTGATTGAATTAACAGTGCAATAATATTGTGATAATTGAAAACAAAATATTACCTCCCTTTGTTTCCAAAGTTACTTGTCTTTTTAAATAAAAGGCAACATGCATAAAGTTAAAACATATCAAATTAGTGTTTTTTAAAGACATAACAGCAGTTCATATGAAATGTGACCTGGAAGATTGACTAGAACTGTGGACAACAATACATGATATAAAAAGGCATGTAGATCCTGTTAAGTATGCCTTTATGTTTGTCTATGAACATGCTCAATATAAATATACATTTGATTGTTTCTGATTATAGTTGATATTATATGTACATCCACACATAATACATTTTTCCTCTTTCTGTGTGTGTGTGGGTGTGTGTGGTTGTGTGTGCATATACATGTGTACATTTGTGTGAAATGTGAGCATGCATTTGTGTATTATTCCTTAAGTCTGGGCTGTGATAGTTGTTGCCTATGGTATCACACTGAAATGAGCTAACACATACAAAGTGGAATCCAGTATCTAATAGCAAAATGTTTTTTTCATGATTTTTAAAAATGATGTTACTGAACATCAACTGAAGTTACATTACAAAAATATTTCCCTTTTTTTAATGTTAAATAATGTGGATAAAAATAAATGGCTTTCCTAGTTAAAGATCCCGGAAACAACAAACAACTATAAAAGACCACATCCCAGCATGTAAGAGAAGCAGTAACAATGAGACAAATAAATGAGCTGGAAGATTCAATCATTTTAAACTACTGGTGTAGGTAATTACATAATGGAAAAGCCATATAAACTAACAACCATATTCATTACTCTATTTTAAATATTAACATACAGAGTTAACTGCCTTGTAACATCCTACTTTCAAAACAGTTAAATCATAATGGACCAAGGGTGACCAGTGTACAGCACTAATAACCCTGAAAATGTGTTTGTTTCAGCTAATTTCCAAAATATAAAAGAATGAGAAAGAGAACAAGAAAAATAGGAAAAGAAAAGAAAAAACTCAGTATAACACTGAATAAGGATTTGTCATGTGTGTGAAATGCTGTTGTTATAACTTGTGTAACTGCTAAATAGAGGTAAACAATTATATAATGTTAAGAAAACAGAAGTCTAAGACCTCCAGGCAGGTACATACAGCATACCAAATGAGGAATAAATATGAGATAAATAAATATACCATAAAAATAGCCACAGCCAAACTGGAGTATGACAGTACCTCTCAAGTGGTTATTCCCATATTCTATACAGTGGCACAACATCAGTTTATTTACCTACTGGCTTATCCACACTCACCTATAGCACATACAGACATTGCCACTTAACTGAATGAACAGGCCTCTATGGCAGCACACAAGACATGTCCGTCCTTGGATACCCTGAACAGAGATTGCAAAGACATAGCTTCTATGCTTGTCCTTATTCTACTATGAAGAATCATCTCCTTAGTCTAGAAGGAATAGCTTTTAGCAGCTTGGAGGTCTGCAAATCTGAATGCCACCAGATATCAACATAACAATTACTTGTGCTCTTCATGAACTTTGTTGATTTTTTTCCTTGCAAAAGTGTCCCCATAACATGATCAACAAACAGTGAGCAGATTTTAACTGCATAACAGATAAAGAAGGGAGAATACCTAAAAAATATTTATAATGTAAACACTCTTGACAAGAGAATCAACACAAAACAATTACAAAAACATTAAGGAATGTTTAAATTCATACAGCAGCAAGGTAACCTTAGTAACCACAGACAGATGAATAAAACAAAGCAGCACACAGGCAGCAGGGTTTTTTGTAAAAATCAGATTATGCTACTGAATGAATACTTTATTCTCAATTTGATGGTTATTTAGTGATAACAATAACTTATCAAAACATAACCTTTAATTTTACACTTCCCAATTAAAGTAAACTTTTAGTAAGCTGTAAATACTGTCCTACGAGGTGAAATTGAAAATGCAGCAAAATGGCACTGAAGTCTGCACAAGATGTTTTATTCATCCTCTACAGTATATCGTCTGTATACAATGCCATATTCCCTTTCCTAAGAGTGAGAGACACTAGGGTGGATAATGAAGTCCAACAACTGGGATAACAAAGGAGTAGCACAAATATATTCTCTATATCAACAAATTTATTTTCCATTTCTAAAAACTCCTTAGGTGTCATAACAAAGAAATGACTGTGTGAATATATGATTTCAAATGCATACATGTTCAAATACTTGCACTCTACACATACACACGTCACACATACACTTGACAACATGCTTTTCTTAGTATTCTCAATTTCAGAAGTAATTTTCACCATTGAAGTATGAGCACATTTCTTTTTTCTTGACTAGCCTTTCCACTGAATATGCCATGTATCTTAACATTCTGTTTCTGTAATTGTGTCCCTTGGCCTACCTTCAGATTCTCTAATGCTTGGCACTTGTAGAGTTGACATGTGAGGATGTTCTTCACCTTGTGAAACATTTCTGGCACCCTCACCATCAACAGAGGATGATGCTGGATTATCAGGATGTATGAATGGTGGAGTTCGTGGACGGGGAATTCTTGGTGAAAGCCATCCTCCAGTTGCTGGCAAAGCACTTGAGGAAGCCCACTGGTGATGCAGATCTCCTCTTAGTGAAGATCGACGTGCACCTGGAGTACCAGGGGTTGAGGATGCCAGGCGGACACCATCTTCTCCTCGAAGTGCTGCTTGAAGAGTTGTTGGGGATATTGTGTAAGAGGTTGCCATTTGAACTGCCCCAGGCACAGCTAGTAGTTGTGAAGGGGCATTGTCAAGGCTACTTGTGCTATGTCTTTTTCGAAGTTCTGCTGCTCTTGAACCGCGGCGGGAACGTATTGGAGTCACTCCTTCTTCATTGTCAGACATGTCTGTTTGTACTGAACAGAGGTCCTCCAGTGAAACAGCCAAGTTTTCTGAATCTCTATGCATTCTTCTCTGAATTAGTCCTTCCATAAGCTGATAATCTGCTTCTTCAGCATCACGGAGAGGATTAGGGCAGATAGTAATGGAAATACTAGCAGATTCTGAGAAGTGCCGTCGCCTTGAATGGGGATCACTTCTATGAGGATAATGGAGGTTTGGAGAAGAAGGTGGAGACAGTCTAGCCATGCATGCTGTCTCCAACTCATCTGCCAAACTTGTGTACTCACTAGTAAAAGTAAAGATGGGGGGTGGTGACGATGGTGGTATCACCTGAATCCTTGGTCGGCTTGAAACAGAAGAAAGACTCCTCTCATATCTAGTTGGAGAGCGAACTGCTACCTCATCTGGAACTGATACTGATCTACCATACCTTGGTTGCTCATCTTCTTCATTAAGATTTTTCTCTTTAACCTCTACTTCTCCAGAATCAGAATCTTCTAATGCAACATTAATATCCATAAAACATACCCTAGATGGACTAAACGCCCTTGCCCCATCTGAGCCCTTCCTTGAAGATTTACGGATACTGCTCTTCCTTTCTCCAGAAAGCTTACGCTCACGAGATGCACGGCCAAGAGAACTACCTGATTCAGAGTCCAATCTATTCTTGCGTCGACCTTGTGTTTTTACTTTTCTTGCTTCTGCTGAAATATTGACTGGATCTAAACTGAAGCCTCTCACTATTCCTTCATCCACTGTGGTTGATTTCCCAGGTTCTCTTGAACTTTGAGCAGTAGGGGAAGACTTCAAGAACTTATTTGATGTCTCATGCTCAGCATCTGTGGTATCACTCTGTTCTTTGTCACTAGTTTCTGGTTCTTGAAGAGGTTTCCTTAGCATCTGACGTTCTGCTTCTTCTAATAACTGATGAAGACTTGTCTGAGAGAGAGAACGGGGAGTTCCCCCATCAGAACGTGGACTGGCAGAACCTGAGCGGGGAGAGCTTGATCTTCTTGGTCTGCCAACATGGCTCAGCATAAAACGATGGACAACAGCATAACTATTTTTTGTTTGTTCAGCTATTTCTTCCAGCCTCTTAACATGGAAATCAAGGCTGTTTAAAGAGCTCATTGCTGCTAGAAATTTGCCATGCATGTCTTCCACTCTCTGCATCAATGATTCTGATCGTTCTGCCATCACACGAACTCGTTCCTGTACAAATGATATAGGAAATCAAAGAATTAGATCTAGGAAATGAATATGAAACAGAAGGAAGAAAAAGGCTTCATTAAATTTGATATCAAATGAAAGACAGATTTAAATCTCTATTCATACCTACTTTATTTCTTAAAGTTCAAATAGTTTCTGTTCCTGGCAAGTGATAACAAAAAGGATGTGCAAAACTTATATTTGATCAACATCAGTAATTGCATCATGTCCCTTCCTAGAAAACACACAAAAAACATACCTCTGTACTCATCTGTTCTTTCTGCTCCTTTTCTCTGTTATAGCCATCCACACACTCTTCTTCAAAATCATGGACTCGCTCTAGACTTTCACCATCGAGAAATAACTTAAGGCCATTATCATAGAGGAAAGGCTTTCCTTTCCATCGCCTGAAGCAATACTTAATGGCACGATGAATGTGAGACAGAATGATGAGGGGAGGTGGGAACACTGGCTTCTCTTCAAATTCCATCACAACCTGAATAAAGAAACATAAGTAAAATAATCATATGAACTTTATACTATCATGTGAACCAGTACACTTGATACTCACTGAATTAGTGTAACATCATTAACTTTAATTTGTAAATATGGCTTCTCATAATCATGAATCAAACACAATCCTCAAATATCATAGATATATCAGTTAAATTCTCTTGATCATATTTGCATCATCTAAGAAGCTTTATATGCTATCAACACTAGCTGTAATGTTACAGCATTTTCCTTATTTTCCTTGTGTTATTTCTAGAAAGATCTTAAAATTAAATAAATACTGTACTGGATTTGTGTCTGTACAGCAGTGGAAACTTTAACATCTGACATTCTTTTCCCCTACTATAAAGGTTTACAACACACCTGAAATCGTTGAAACATCCAGACTTGATGAGAGATGGCATTGACTGAAGTGAAAATGTTATTAAATACAGCAATGAGGAGATTAATGAGGAGGATGTTAGCCACCAGGAGGTACATGGACATGACGGTGGGAGTGATCCAACGTCCAGGATGGCAAGGGATTTGGCCCTCGCCACCGCACTCGGGGTCAATGTCACCGGCAAATACTTCACCATAGAGCATGAAGTATGGCTGGAAAAGAGTGTTAACATGAACTAAAATCATTTCAAAACTTTGTCTATGTAAATCGCTGTATACTAAATTATCTGAATCAAGGGATTTGTTTTTCAGTTTACATATACATAAGCAGGACAATAGACCCTTTGACTTTTATTAATCTACACATAAAACATATCCAATAAATCTAAAACAGAACCACAAAATTACTCTACAAAAATCCTAACCTATGTCTATCACAAAACAAAGGTTAAGCCATCAATAGAGGTTCACATAAGTAATCATTTATCATAATGTTCATCAAAACCAATACATACCTGATAAAATATATGTCTTGCCAATCTCCAATGTGGTTCCTCATTTGGAAACAGTATGCTTTGCCGACACACTCCAAAAGCCATAAGGACAACCAGCAATAACACCACAAAATATGCCATGTTTTTTATCATCTTCCCCATCATCATCACTAGCGGACCCAGGTATTTATTAGCTGACAAAATCTCTAGAACTCTTAAGTACCTGTGGGATTGTAGAAAAGAATAAACATAAAAACTCTTTTCCTTAATCAAACTTTTGTTACTAAAAGAAAATTGTAAACCAAAAGACCAAAAGCTCTTCAACTGTAGTCTTTAAAAAGAACTCACCAGTATATTATGTCAACGCAGTAAATAACACGTCCAGCTTGCATGGTTTGTTCTTGGAGCCTTAAACACAGGCCAATTAAGAAGAGTACTGTAAATATGAGGTCAAAGACATTCCAGAGTTTGTCGGACCATACTGCTATTTTTTGCCTGTAAAGATGAAACTACAATATATTATACATATCTTTCCTGCAAGTTCATAAAGCCAGTTTGTTCTATAAAGTATCATATCATATAAAGGCTCTAAGTATCATAGTGTGTATTCTCTCAAACTTGAATTTTTGTAATGAATGAGTAAAATAATTTTTGAGGAATAGGCAAATGTAATAGATTTAACTTTATGTTCTTATGATTAACAATACAGCCATTGCTTATCTTATCTATTAAATATACTTTCATTGTTTTGAGAAATTAATCAATATTCTTTTTCTTTACCATAACATAGTTTTTTCAATATCCTGAATTAGAAATTAATAATCACACATTGCAGTTCTCTTGACCTATTTCTCTGGCATATATCTGCATTATCTAACAAGAATATATATAAGTATTAAATACTTTTTCTACATAATTAATAAGAGTTAACTGCAAATGCTGACATACTTTTCTGTTTTGACTAAACATCACATTATAAATTTACTTACTTGAGTTCAACTGGTTCTGTAGACAGTATCTCTCTGATCTTCTCCAGTAGAAGTGTGGAGATGTAAGCAACAACATACCATTCCATCCACTGTGGCTGTTTTGGCAATTTAACTAGCACAAGAT